CGTTCTTGTTTTGGTGACTTTTAGTGGCTTGTTGGTTACTAAATGGCTAATGCATTTCGTCGTTTTGCTAATCGAGCTAAACTACTTGCTCAAAAAGAAGGTTCTTTATTTCGTCTACGGTCTGAAAAAGAGCGTCCAGGTCTGCATTTGGCTGTGCGTGGTTTTAGGCACGTGGGTTTTGCTATTCCAAGAAAGGGTAAAACCGTCAAAAGACACAACGCGTATATTGAATTTCATAACGTGGACAATCGCCACGTTCCTCATCGGCTCGTTCCTGTGGCTATTAAAGACTCTGCTTTTAAAGATTCTGGCGTCTTCGTTCCACGTGAACACGTTCTTCGACAGAATCCAAGAAAGTATATTCCATCAGTATATTCTGCTGACCCTCTCGGGCCCGCCGGTTATGGAGTCGGCGCAAATGTTCGGCAAGACGAATAGTAATGTGAGTCAGATAAGTTTTCGTGTGGGGAAGAAGGGTAAAGAGGGGAAAGAAAAGAAGGAGAAGGAGAAAGAAGTGATCGATATAAATAAACTACATCGGATGAAACAAGAGAAGGTTTCTGCGTGGACGATGAAAATGTTGGTTGATGTTATTTCTAATTCGGGACTTACGACGCTCTCGAATGCGATCGACGAGAGTGTTTATGACGGTGGTAATGAAGTGGCTGATAAGGAGATTACGAACGAGGAAGAGGCGATTGCGGCTGCTTATCACTTGTTTAGGAATGTTGCGCAGCCTGGGTGCAAGTGAGTAAAAAAAATCGATCGATTTTTCGTTTTATTGTTTGCTTAGGGTGGAAATCGGAAAGCGATCTTTTGAATTCTGTCGATTTTGATCTGAATATTTCTATTTTTGGAATGATATGTTTCATTCCGATTTCCGATGTCCGATTTTTACGGGTTTTTTTTAACGGAATTGGAGTACGTATTAGATTCCGATTTCCGATCCGATATTTTTTTTTCCGAAAATGTTTCAACCATTATGAGGTTTTTTTGCTTTCTGGAAATTATACTAATTATATCAATATTGTTATGTATTTTACATTTTAAGAAATTCTGATCCAAAATTTGCCGATTTTGGAACAAGTTTTTTACTTACAATTTTTGAAATTCCGTTTTTTCTGACTTTGTTTTGGGATTCCAATTTCCGGTCCAATTTTCATTTCCGAAAATATATCCAAAAATTATACTTGTAAATGTAAAAATTATTATGTATTTTATATTATAGGTGACTTAATCAAATTGGAAATTCCGAATTTCGCTGATTCCAATTTCAAAATACCGTTTTTCTGATTTTTTTGGAACAAAATTGGAATTAGTTTCATTTCCGAAAATATATCCAAAAATTATACTTGTAATGTGAAAATTGATATGTATTTTTATTATGTATTTTATATTATAGGAGACTTAAAAAATTGGAAATTCCGAATTCCGCTGATTCCAGTTTCAAAATACCGATTTTTCTGATTTTTTTGGAACAAAATTGGAATTAGTTTTTCACTTCCGAAAAAAAATAAAAAAATTCAAAAGCTCAAACCCCGATTCGGTACGTCCACTTGATTTCCACCCCAATAGTCACTAATTTGAATTATGATCGTTTCTTTGGCAGGTACATTGACGAATATGACTTCCGGAGATTCATGATAAAAGAAGAGGTTGAGTTTGTATTTCCTATGATCGATGTGGCTGAAACCGGGCAGATTGACAGAAAAACGTTAACCGAATGGGTGGTATGTCATATTACCGATTCATATGTAATATTAAGATTCAATATATATATATATATATATATATATATATATATATATATATATATATATATATATATATATATATATATATATATTAATTATATAAAAAATTTATATATGTGTGGGTGTACAAAAACATACACACACGCGCACGCGCGCACACGCACACACACACACACACACGCGCACAGAGAGAGAGAGAGAGTGTGAGTGTGTTTATTTTAGTTTGATACAGAGGGTGTCTCTCACACGAACGAGAAAACACGAATGCTCACGTATGTTTATCTTTCCATCTATTTTTATGTGTGTTTGTGTTTGTATATATATATATATGTATATGTATATATATAAACATGCTATATGTGATTCACACTTACTATCTTGGAGATTGTGACGGACGCGTGCGTGCTCGGATATATATATGTTTATGTATGTATACATGTGTTTTTGATTTTTCTCGATTTCTCTTTTTTTTTTTATTTTTCTTTTTTTCTATTTTTGT